TACAGTTTTGACATATTTTGGACACTAATGTTATAGTATTATTAACGACTATCTTAGAAATTTCCTCATGAAATATTGTTGGTTCCTCGTAGACAGATTTGGTTTTGCCTACAGTCTATCCATTGGCAACCAGCGCGCCACCTTGTGATGTCTACACGTATTGACCATATATGAATGTTTACCTTCCTATCAAGATACCTTCCGTTAACATTTGGTTTACTATCAAGATACCTTCTTTACCGGCTTTTCTCTGTTCCTTTTGATTTTCTGTCAAACATACCTTCTTCAAGGCCACTCATTTAACCTTATTTTAGGGGGTTAGGTGTTCTGCGTTCTGCATCATTTTACTTTCGTGCGGAGATTGTGGTGTGGGCGTTTTTTCGTTAACTTCCAGATTTTGGGATATTAACGCCCAAACACCAGTTTATAGAGTAGTACCCTTTTATTTTGTACCCTACGTTTAGTTGTGTTGGTTAGGGTGCTACCCGTCCATTTTCTAATGGAATTTCAAGCTCCAGCGTGGAAAGCCATTGCGGAGAACCACCAGCATTCACACTTCTCCAGCTTTGTTTTATAGCTGCCTTGTAGCCGTTTCGCAGCCGATTTTGTTGGAAGCCATCCCTTTCCGTTGACATAAAACCCTGATGTGAACAGGGATTTTCTTATACCGTAAATGTTGAGAACGTATCAAGCAGCCCCTACCTTATGACGTTCCTCACGTCACTGCCCACTGCTGGCCATTCGTTTTTGACCTGAGTTTTTGAGAGCTGAGAACATCACAGCTACGCCTAGAGCTCTAACTGGAAGAAAACCATTATCCAGATAAGTTTAGGTTTAGGCGTTAAATTATTTGTAAGGCCTATATTTGTAGAGCCTTCTTACGTGTACCGTGGTAACGTTTTGCATGGTTAATTATCACGGTCTCATAATTTTATTGTCAGGTAATTTTGAATAATACCCTTTCTTTTAACTTGTACTCCAGTGGTGGAGCATATGTGCTGCTTGTTTTGATAATGTATTGTGATCATTTTTATTCAAATATCTTGTTTTATTTGGCTCTCTGTGTACAATTAATTAGGTTTCATCATTAGTATTAGATTCTTTTTTTATATGGTGGTCAGGCAAAACAAGTTCCGACTAACAACTCGGGGATTTGTGGCTTAATCCCCGAGTTGTTAATCTGTTTTGCATTGATTGTCCTTATATTTCATTTATAGTTATTTATTAATTCATTAATTAATTAAAAAAAAAGGAATGAGGAATCACGTCACCATTTCCTCTTATTTATAAAAAAAGGCGTGGCAATTTATTATTATTATTTATTAATATTTTTGCGGACATGAAGATATGCTAGTCCAGTTAGCCGATCTTATTCTGCCAGACGCCCTGAACCATGTTTAGAGCTTTCTGAAGACAGTAGAGAAGCACATTTTTGCGGTCCCTTCACTAACTGATAGTGTGACAAGAATGCGTAGAAGTTTTTGGATGTTGAGATACATTCCAGCATCGTGTTTTTTTTTTCAAAATTAAAAAAATATTGGAGATCTGGTTCGACTCGAAGGTCGTGATCATGATCCTCTAACTGGATCCGTCCTTTGCTTTGTCTGCCTTTTGGCCTAAAGCGACGTCATGTCGGCCTTTGAGGTTGTCCAGTACCTCAAGGCGGTACACTGGGCGACAGAACTGAGGGTAATATTTTCAGCTAACGCATTTCTAACGTCCAGCGTGTTGGGGTGGAATACAAGCAGCAAAAGCGTTAACCCAGTGAAATTAAATGTAATTGCTGCAATCTCCAGATCAATGTAGTACACCAACTTTCGTTTCAAGAACATAGCCTTTTTGAGCTGAATCTGCTCTAAGCTCACGACAGAACAGATACATTGAGATAAGCTGTAGCTGAACGGTTATGATCGCGACTGGCCAGAGGTGAGCAGATGTTACCTGGCAGCACGTAGCAGAGCGATCCTGAGTGCTCCTGCTGGTGTAATCCGTCTGTTGCATGACGCAAGAATTCCTGGAAACCTAAGTGTTGGAAATATTTCTGATTCTTCTTACATATGTATGAAAAACCTATTTTGTGTCAAGTACGGTGCATAGAACTACCACGGGTGGAGGCATATAAATATAGTGATGACGATACACATATACCCTCTTCCAGCTCTCTGCAGCCCAGCCCCCAATTTTTAAACCTTACAATTTGTTTTCCGAAAGCGATCAGAGGCCTCTGAATCGTTAAAAAATGAAGCTCGAGGGATTGTTTTTTAATCCTTTTGCCCCTATCTACACCTACTTTTAACAGCTACAAGCTTGGTCCTTGGTATGGTAGTGCCTTTGGCTTGAAAATTTCATCAAAATCGAGCAGTACTTTCCAAGTTATAGACAGACCAAGGATTAGTGGGCATACAAACTGACAGACTGACGAAAATGAGCGACGTGGCTTTTCGTAAAGTGCATGTCACAACATCCAGGATAATTTACCATTTTCACGATTACGGTGCGTCCTTGCAGTGTTCCGTTACTAGAAGTTCTTCATTATTGAAGATTAAGTTTTTTCACCCGAAAGTATAGTTCGCCATATGCTCTCTTAATAAAAAGTTTTCTAGACCCTATGGTCATGCACCAGATCGTATATCATTCAAATTCTGCTGAATTCATCATTTAAGCATTTCCTTTTTCCGTTTATAGCACACGTGGGGAAAATATATGAGATAAAAGTTGTAAAGTTTCTTCTTTGAAACTCCATGCTATCTGGCATTTCTACGTGGAATACAATAGCGTGGCGACATCAGTAAAATATAGCTTTTGAATAAAAATTTGCCGAACACCTTGAAGGAAAAATACCTTCCATATAAGGCTTCGTCTGTCCATCTGTCGTGAAATACAACTTTTTTTCTTCACTACCGGCCTGATAAAAAGCCATTTTCTTCCTACAAGAAGAAATTGCATTTCTATTATGTCCCTCTAGATAAATAACGATAATGTAAAAATTTGGTTACTTTCTGAACTTTCCAACGCCGCCCTCAGTTTATACAGGGTGACTTCGAAGTTTAGTCATTTATTTTATCAGTGAGTAGATCTGATCAAAAGAAATGGTTTTTTCCTTTAACATTTTTCTGGTAAAATTAAAGTAACAAAGTTATAACCCTTTAGAAGTTTGAGTACCGCCCTGTCTCAATAATAATATTATGTGCTCGTGTTTGGCAACAACGGATATAATCCGCCTTATCGGTTCATCGCATCGGAAACAAAAAAGCGAAAGAATTTGAAACGCTTATCACGATGTTTTTACTACAATGTTATTCAGTTGTATTCAGTCAATGTGTCAGTCGGTAACGCGTGAGTGAATAGTAGTGTTTGTTGCGTGGCTCAAACGAAATAAAAAATGGCACATGTTTACGAAAATGCTGAACTTGTGGACATGATTCTTATTTACGGGGGGGGAGTCTTTACAAAATGCTGCCGTGGCATCACGGACTTATGCGGATCGGTTTCCCAATCGAGTGCAACCAACCCCTCGTGCCTTTGTTAATGTAGTACAAAGGGCTCGTGAATCAGGTGACTTAAGACCTCACAGGGGAGGGCATGCCGGTGCTCCAAGACAACAAATACAGGTCCGCACTGAAATACTTGTCGGGAGGATACTTTATAAAACAAGGTAACATTCTTTTTTTTATTTTATACACATATTTTGGTTTATCTTCCTTCTACAATCATTATCTGAAAATTAATGACTCAACTTCAAAGTCACCCTGTGTGATTATGTTCAGCACAACTTAGACCCTCTGAGAAAAAATTTGTTGCGAACATCTAAAATAGAGAAATTGAATGGATCAAGACAGTCAAACAGACAAGCACATACAATTAACCCCTAGACATTATTTCCCCACTTTACCGGTACTACCGTCCATCTAGCAACGTCTCCTCTTCCTGACAGCAAGAGGCACCAGAGGCGGCAGCGCGGCATATTGGCAGTAATGCTATAGTACTTATCAAGACCGGCACGCCCGCCGGTGAACCCAAAGAGCATAGGCAATATTAAGGATGGGAGCGTTTGAATATACTGACATCAAAAAATTGAATTATACCGTCAGAAGGTAGAAAGTCGGGAGAACCGTTAAAAATATCGACAGATTCCAAGATTATTTCTAGAAAAAAAAGTAGTGCTCAAAATTTGGTGGTTATAACCACCTGTCGATATTTTTATCGGTTCTCCCGACTTTCTCCCTTCTGAAAATGTTTGAGACAACCAAACAGCCTGGCCTCTTGATAAAACACTGTCTCCGTAAGATTGCTTAACAAAAATTCCGTTGCACTGGGGCCAAGTCTGTAGTAAGACCTGACAGCACTCTGTTTTGCTTGAAATTGATGTCACTCATTTTTAGAACACAATAGAGAAAACTGTTTCTCAAAAAAATCGCTGCGGACAACCAAGTGGCTCGATCGAGTTCAAACTTGTACTGAAAGTGGATCACATGTTTCCAGATCGAATTCTTGTACGTGGTCAGTCCCATCACTTATTTTACAGACCTCGATGCAAACATGTGAAACTTGTGTGATTTGTCGGTCATAGAATAATTATAACTGCTATGACAACCTCTACTTGTTTTGTTCATACTCTAATTAAAATTATTGGTGTTGATTGTATTTGATTCTACATTATTTTGACAGCTTGGAAGTCCGAGGATATTTGGCAAATTGAAGTTTGTAAAAATAAGTGTGAAACTAATGATGTGCCGTCGTACGTAGCATCTTCTTTCTTTGTTAAACTCTGTCATCTAGCAACGGCATCTCTTTTCTATTTTCTGTGGTACAGATATTGCGTTAGCTTCCATCTGACAGTGTTTCCGGGCGTTAAAGGAATTCTCAGACTTGCTACATTTTAAAGAATAAGCAAATTAAATGTCGAAACTAAAAATTATTGTCCCCCCTTGTCATAGCTCTAGCCGCTGTTTGAGGCACCTTCCGTTATCGACAAGTTTAACAATTTCTTCTTGTCGCAGAAGTGTTCTACCAGAAGCACCGTCCAGCTACAGAAGATTCTAGTACCCAGACGATATCGGAACCATCTCCTACAGTGTTGCCAGCTCACAAAGTCGGCAACAACATTTCAGCAGAGACGATTTCTTCTCCGCCTACGAGTCCCAAGATCAACAACAACCACATGACAAATGGACCAGCCACGACGCAACCACAACAGGTTAGTTTCAAACTTTCTTTACTTGCCACCAACCACCATCTTTTTTATTTTCCACTTAAGTGTAGTGTTCACGCATCACCCCATATTTCTGCTTGCTAGCTTGACGCGCTAAAAAAAAAAGTAATTGGGAAGCACTATACAATACATATTTATTATTTGTACCATAGAAGGTCATGATCTTTGTAAGGCTTTCTGAGTATTAAGAATTCATAGTTAATGTCAAGTTCCTTCTATTCACACTAACATTCTGACTACCATTCGGTCATCGACGTTAAAATTATAATATAAGCTCACGGCAAAGCGTTAGCTTTCAAGCAAGTATTAAGTAGTAATAATTTTCTTTATTTTTTTCAATATGAATCGGAATCAGTTCCGTAGATATAGCAGTACCATGTATTTCTAGACTCAAAATAAGTCGAGTAGACGTGATTTAGCTCTATGTAAAAGTGCTTCGTATGTCCGCGATAGGGCGTCAAAGTTTTATTTTTGAATCCTAAACTCTCCCAACGACTCTGAGCTTTTTATTTAAGAGCCTTCCATTTACTCCATTTTATTGTTTGTTATAAAATCAGGCATCGTTTTAGAGAAAAATAATATTTTTCGGAGCTGGCTTTTAAAAAACGTTCTTATTATAGCAAGTGTTAAAATCTAGTAGGCATCTAGTTGACAGAAATGTCGGATGTTGTGTTAGTATCACATTTTTGACAAGCTTCATAAAGTGACATAACATCCCACATTTCCAAAAAATTAGAGTTGTTGGAAGAACTAAACAAGTTCTGCTATAATTTGTGTAGGGGTGGGGATGGTTTTTACCCTTCCCGAACCCTTTCGGCTTTTTTGTAAAAGTCAAAGATTAGGACGTCTAGCAAAACATATACTTTGAAGTTGAGTCATTAATTTTCAGATAATGATTGTAGAAGGAAGATAAACCAAAATATGTGTGTAAAAATAAAAAAAAAATTAAAAAAAAATGTTTACCTTGTTTTATAAAGTATCCTCCCGACAAATATTTCAGTGCGGACCTGTATTTGATCGTGAGGTCCCCTGTGAGGTCTTAAGTCACCTGATTCACGAGCCCGTTGTACTACATTAACAAAGGCACGAGGGGTTGGTTGCACTCGATTGGGAAACCAATCCGCATAAACATGTGCCATTTTTTATTTCGTTTGAGCCACGCAACACACTATTCACTGACACTGACTGTATACAAATGAATAAAATAATTGTAAAAACATCGTTCCAAATTCTTTCGCTTTTTTGTTTCCGACGCGATGAACCGATACTCAAACTTCCAAAGGGCTATAACTTTGTTACTTTAATTTTACCAGAAAAATGGTAAAGGAAAAAAACATTTCTTTTGATCAGATCTACTCACTGTTAAAATTAATGACTCAACTTCGAAGTCACCGTGTATGATCCAAATTTCATTCAGATCGGACTACCGGATTCAAAAATATCTTAAATGTTGTGTTTTAAAAATAAAACTTGGACGCCGTCTAACAGAGCACTTTTGCATAGACTTATTTTGAGTCTGAAAGTGATATAGGCAGATATTTAGATCACAACCTACAAATGGAGCCTTGTTCCTCAAAAGACCGTTCGAAGTAGTTTAATTAAGCTCAATAAATAACGATCAAATTTGCAATGAAAGATGTAGTTATAGTAGCCTTCCATGGTCAACCCACCTTATGCGTTATTTTTAGTCTCTATATTTTATATGTTTTTGTATTATTTCGTAACCATTCACAAGTCCTATTTCATCAAATGATAATCTTACGGGATAAATAAAGACTATTCCATCATATAAGTTGGACTCACTTAAAATCCGTCCCTGGAAAAATCAATTACCTCACCAATACATCATATTAATAGATCCCATAGATTTATATGACTGATACAAATACAGAATAATGCTTGTGTTTCGAGTTATCTCGAGCATGAAATGGATTAATCCACTGAATTTTTGTTTAAACTAAATGTAGTAACTATGCGAATGATGATAAATAGTCTACATTTACATTTATTATGGTTTAGACCGTTACACAACATGTTTCAACTGACCTCATCGATGTGCGAACCACATAAATTCACATATTATCCGACAATTTTGATATAACGATGATATATTTACAGCACGTGCTGAAATCAAACATGGGCAATAACTAATTATTATAGATATTGTATCGTTTAATTCTTAAAAATTTCGACGTAGGTCTCAGTGTCAGCTCTTCGCCCAACACAGTTGTTACGGTCTTACCATTAACAAAAGTGACGTCACTACTACTAGTTCGTGGATTAAAGCACGTTCCATTTCGAATACCTTTAAACTGCTGTTGTTACAAATCGTTGTTAGCTAAGATGAAAATATTGCAGTGGCCCTTTTTCTGTTATCTTAATCGCGTTTTCCAAGGTCCAGTTAACTAGCTTGTGATGCTCGATATTCGTCCCTCGTGTCAGCAATGACAAGTCACGCATGGTACGTTGGATAACGCAGTGTTACTAAAGTCTACTACTACTAAAGAGTATTCATTACGTTGAACGTGACTGCAAATAACACCTGATGATCTAGTAACATTTCAAAATACCCCATATCGGCAAGTGACAGAAGACAGAGTCGTATTTTGTTGGCGCATAAGGAAAAACACTACAAGCAGATTTGCTGTTGATGATCATTACTATATTTCAAGTCAGGAAGAAGTGAGACAAGTTAAGCAGTTTTTGACTATGTTTGGAATGAACAACTCTGAATAAGGTCCTGATTTTTACCAGATTTGAACCCAATTCATCATTGACAGGCAACATTACAGGAATACAAAGATGTCACTTGCTGATCAGCTGTTCATCTCAGTAGACGTCAAAACGTAATGAAAAGACCATACAATCCTCTGCTTCACCAACATCCGCCCCTCTGGTTGATGCTATTTAGCATTTATGGCAAACAATCTGTGATTGAAAATCCTGGCCATAATATAATATCTTTTGATTTCCTACGAAACCTGCCCCTATTTTTGCCGCCCGATAGATCTATTTAGTCACAAGGTTACCGCAACTTGACTGCGAAACAGAAAATAGCTATGACAAAGCGTTTTTCAATGTCAAGTTTGTGCTAAAACAGTCGTTAACTCCAGTCAGAGAACCATGCGATAACTACGAGCCCCTTCCCACTTCAGTTGGCCCAACTATTGAAATCTTAGTTTTTTTCTTATCAAACACAACTAATAAAAATGTAGCATGGTGTTATAGGTTTAAAATATTAACAATGAATATTTTGATAATATATAGTAGAAAACACCAACTTTACCACTCCCTAATCAAATTTGCAGCATAAAAATAACACATGTTGCAATTACAGCATATCAGCCTATTTTCATTTCAATGCATAATAAGTCTATAACGCATAGGTGGCTGTGCAAAAACTTAAAGCCATGACAATTGTTTTTATCAATCACAGCTGTTAGAATACGTGTAAAATGGTTTTGGGTAGTTAAGGTTTTCAAAATGGGTAGAGGAAAGGTTATTAGTTAGAAAATTCGGTTACTGGTAATTAAATTTTTTAATTCTGGGAAATCAAACTCAGAAATTGCAACTTTGTTAGACTTATCGCGGTACAGTGTGCGCAATATTGTTAGAAGATATAACGTAACTGGTTCAGTAATTATTAAGCCACGATATGTGAAAAAAGTAATATCACAAATTAATGCCGACCGAAAAGCATTAAGAAGAATAATCGTGAAAAACAGGCGTGCCAATTATTTACAATTAAGTGTTCTGTGGAGTGATGCTGTTGGAAGGAGAATTTCGAGGTCTGCAACTCATAGAGAGGCCCACAAACTGGGATTTAGCACTTGCAAGGTAAGTTTTCTTATAAAAAAAGTAAAGTAAAAACCCTAAAATTGCACAACTTGTTTATAGGCCACTATTAGCTCCACTGCAAAAGAAAAATCGGCTAAAGAACATAGACAATGGACACCTCAACAATGGTGTGATTTATTCGCAAAAAATGAAGCATTCCACGTTGACTGTCTGAAGAGAAAAGTGAAATTTCCAGCATCAATTATGGTCTGGGGCAGTATGTCATCAAAAGGAGTAGGAAAACTTCATTTTATTGATGGAAATGTGGATACAAACAAATATTTGGCAATTTTAGAAGAATCGCTTTTACCAGTGATGGAAGAATGTTTGACATCCGGCCAAGATTTTGTGTTTCAGTAAGATGGTGCAGCGTGCCATACCTCAAAAAAGGCTATAAAATGGATGGAAGAAAATAATGTACCACTTTTGAAATGGGTTTCTAGCAGTCCAGATCTGTCACCTATTGAAACTTTGTGGCACGAGATGAAAAAGGTTCTACGACAACATCCTGCTCGTACAATCACTGAACTGAGACAAAGGCTTCAAGAAATATGGGATTGTTTTACACCAAATTTTTGCCAAAACTAGGTTAACACTATGCCCCAAAGAATTTCAGCCGTTATAAAAAATAAAGGTGATGTTATCCAATGGTAATCTTTCAATTGTTGCTTTGTTAACTTCGCGCATTTATTCGCACATTGTTTATTTGTTCAGATGTTCTATTAGTTATAGGTTTAAGTGATTTCAATTATTATGTATTTTTTACGACTAGAGTGTATCTAAAATGTTTTTGAGAAAATAGTTGCATCATGTTTAGTTTATAAAGTCATATTTTGGTACAAATCTTGCAGTGGGCCAAATGAAGTGAGAACGGGCTCGTATAATGCTACGTCATCACGGAGCGAGACACGCCTGTGTGATCCTTGCTTGCGTGGAGTGAAATGTCGGTAATTTGCCTCTAACATAATCGAAAGAGAACAGATGTTGATGAAAATATGAACGGATTGGAGAGAAGCTAAGAAACTTGCTTTAAACAAAAAAGAATGGACTAAATTCATGTACAAATAATAGTCGGTTTTGTAATGTTTTGTTTAACCCCACACCCTTTAGGGTAAATGGGGTTTTGATTATATATATATATATATATA